GCCCTCTTACCCATGGATAAGCAAAGGGCCACTCTCCTAACCAATTTAACATTTGACATAGCTAACTCAACTAAGTTAATTCTCACTTCCTCGCAACAAGTAAGTTCTCAGCAAAAAACTCAAGGATGCAAGAGTATCACCACTTGGATCACTAATTCTATGAAAATAAAAGTGAGTGGGGTCACATTACTATCATAATAAAGAACTGGTATAGCTCCTGAGACTACGGTAAAAATAAGGCAATAACTTATGTATTTACATTCCACTTTAGTATTTGTGGTCATAATAAATGCTTAACATTAATTCAATTATCCTTTTTACAATTCATTCTTCAAAGGATCAAGTGAATCGATGAAGTAAATACCTAATCGTTAATGAATTCTCAGGTATCCCACAAGTGCTTAATAGGTTCCAACAGAAGAACCCGACCTGGCAAATCCTGGCACTAAAGACTTGGCTAATAATGGTTGACCTCATCTAGAGAAACTGAAAAACAAAAGGCCTTAATTTCAGCTAGGCAACACGAAAAGATCATCCTCATGGGAAATTCCAATGATTCATATAAGACCCTTCAAGCCTTTTGAATTTATCTCCTCAACGGAGTCGTTCTCCAGGAGATATTTGCTTACACAATAATTAACTAGCCATCAATGGCATTTTTTTTATCCAAACATAGGGCAGGTTCAACCGTAGAAGACTTAAAAACACTTCCTCATGTTCAACCAATCATGAGCTTGCAAACGCTACAGCTCAAGTAGATTAACCCTTCACATTGAAATGGCCCAATAACTATGCCTATGAGGGCATAAAGGTGACCAAAAGACTTGTCACCATAGGCTCATCCAACTCGATCCATCCCAAGGAATCGCCTTCCTTGGCTCACCATAAACACTCTACAAAGGAAGCATGCCTTGAACCAAAAGTTGGGGCTTGGGCTAAAGGTGTAGAACCATTCAAACCACCTATCATGAGTAGTCCGTACTAAATCTCATTTCTTATTGTACTTTTTACCTTTTTTGTAGTAACATTTCCCATAGCCCTTGGATCCAACAAATAAAGGTTGAAGAGGCAAATTTTGGATCGTTTGAGATATTATTGATGTAGTCGAGCATTTCTTTGAGAATTTCTTAAGCTTTTCCTAAATTCCTCAAGTCTTTTTTCCCTTTCCAAACTCACCATAATCTCTCAGGTTCCTATCTCTTGAGATTGCTAACTAGTAGGGTTGAGTACATCGTCATCATCATCAACAAGCTTTTATCCCAGTACATGTGGTCGGCTACATAAATTCTTTCTCTCCATTGTGTACCATTAAGAGTCAAATTCTCATTTAAATCTAAAAAAAATGTCATTTATATATTTTCTAATGAAGTATTTTTAGCTTTACGTCTACCTTTCTTAATATAGAACAATTCTAATACATCTAATCCTAATTGGTTTATCAAAAGGCCGACATTTTATGTGCCAAAACCATCTAAAGTGACTTTCTCTAATCTTATTTGCTACTAAAGCTAGTCCAACCTTTCACTTATATACTCGTTTCACATTCTATCTTTTGAGTGAATCCACTCATTTACTTGAGCATCCTCATCTCTATAATACTTAACTTAATTTTATGCTTCTCTTTTAATGGCCAACATTCTAAATCATAAAGCATTACAGGTCCAACCACCATGTTATAGAATTTTTATTAAGTTTGAGGGGTACTTATCTATCACACAACAAAATGGTAAGATTATTCGACAAGTTTTATGCTAACTATCGACTACTTAATGCAACCCTCTACTTTTCTCATCTATGGTGGAGTATCATCCATGGGAAAATTTGAATCCAACACTATAGAACTTGAAATTAAGTATTCAATAGGTTGCATATGATATTATTTCAAGCTATGTAAAGAATATCACATTAATCTTCATTTATATCAAACTTTAGATATTGTCAATTTGTTAACATTTAATGCCTCTTTTAACTCAAATAAAGTCTCAATTCATTCATAGAACTACCACCTTGTACCTTAATAAGTATGATCTAAATATATGCATTTCCAAATGAAATTTTACCTTTATGTTGCATTATAAACCTTCAAAACCATCAATAAAAGAAGGGTATAATAGAAAGGTCAATTTTTCAATATGAAATATGTTACACAATGTCACAACCTAACTATGAAGAATTTGTAGATGCCATCAAGTAACAGTAGCACTTCAATGCACATTATCAAGAATGAAGTGTGTTCATCTTCCATAATTGAAATATACCACACAAAATAATAAAAAACAATTCATAATGTGTCAACACATAATATTACATGTTTCTTTTTTCACTTCCTATACTTCTTGTACGCAAGAGAAAAATTACAATAAAAAACAAAACCATTGTCCAACTAATTGAATCAAGTAATATGACCCAGGCATGCATTTCTTAAATAAGACCACTTCGCAATTGACTTGTTGAGGAAAAGATCAAACTGGTCATTTTTTTAGTATCTGAATTGCCAACACGTTCCTTTTCAACCACAAAACTCAAAAAAGTTAAAATTAAAATAAATAAATAAAACACCCATTCATATTGTTTTAAAATCCTTATGGTTGTTTAACAATGACTAAAGTAAGCAGCTAACCTTGGCTTAAACTAAGCAGTATGAATGAGAGCCATGCGACAACATGGGATGAATGAGAGGTTATATCCTATTACATGGGAGTACCCCTAATTAACCATTCATCAATGAAGAAAGTAAGGTCACTTGCCAAAACTACAACAAATACCTATGAGAAATAAAAATTGGATCTAAACAGATAGGATTTTTCTATTTTAACACTTACAAGTTCTGGATTTTCGTTGTCACCAGGACCTATTTATTGAGTAGAATATAATCCAAAAAAATTGTTGCTTCAATTTTATAAATGAACTTGTGGTACATTTTTAAAGCACTAGAAAATCTATTACATAATACAAAATTGGAAGACTATAAGAATTTTGAATTTTTATTATTTTTATGTGAATGAATAATGTTGTTAATCTAGCAATTATTCTCGAACTCATAACAAATTTTCTTTAAAATAATTTTTTTAATAAATTTAGACATGTAAAAGACCTGTAATAATAAAACAAAATAGTAACATATCATTTTATTAATACATACATTATTTTAATAGTACGAATATGATAGAAATTTTTGTATCATGTTCAGAGATCAACATTCATACAAAGAATACAATTAGATATGATTTAGTGATGCGCTTCCTTAACAGGACTGCCGTGTTGTTGAAATATAATAGGGAAATGTTAACATATTGTAATTGGAATCAAGACTTCCAACCGTTTACAAAAGTAGTAGGAGTTGAATTTAAGAAAAAATTTCAATATTATATTTAACTCTAATAATGAATCAAAATTGATAAGCACAAAAAATAACCCCATATAAATCATTCCTAACTGGCCACTAAAATCTCAATAACTTCATATCATGATTTCCAATAAACAACCACAAGCAAAGCCCAGAGAAAATTTATTAAACCTAGAATGTACGTTTCTAAGATTTTCCACTGGTCAAAATACTAGATTAATGCGCTCATAGCAGTCCTTAAACTCCATCCACAATCAAAACTCAGCAGGCTTATTATTTTGAAACTTTCAGATAAAAATTGTTTATAGTGACTTAAAAGTATGCAACAAAGCCACCTGTATTTTTTATGGTTTACATTGATATTTTTGTTTACAATTGTTGTATCAAAAAAAATTATAATGATTGTAATGAGGCAGTAGATTTCACAAGTATGTTTAACTCCTTGTGTTCTGAAATGTTCCTACACAGACAATCAAACAAATGACCAGCACAACACCCAGCGGTTAGGTTATTGCGGAATGCCACAGAAGCTCAAATTCACAGCTAAAAGATATTGACCAAACCAAAGAAAATTAACTAGAAGTTTATGAACCCAAACTCAATGCTGATTTTGGGTCAGATGTTAATGAATTATAGTTCTCCTGCCCAAGTTTTGGATCTTTTTATAAATACGTGGCCACCCAACTAGTTCTGTTCATTCTATTCATTTCACTTACCAGACAAGGAGAAGATGCTAACTTGATAGCAAGTCAAGATAAGGAGGCATATCAGCTGGTGTAGCTTAAGACCATTCCGAGAATATAAGGTGACGCTTCATAATCAAACATCTAAGTAAGGCATCATGTTTCTTTGAATAAGTGTGCAAATACCACATAATTAATTCAGCCTTGCACTAATCAGAGGATCTACATATTGTCATGCAGTTCTTAAAATGTGTGTTCAATGAATTAGATGATTAGGATGTATCTCACCAATTCAATCTAAACACAAGGATGGCTAAAACCAGCCCAAATCCATTTTGCACCAATTTGGAATAAACAGAACTAGGATTTAGTGAAACCATTCTATGTTTAATTATGTTCACCAGGAGGATACTCCAACCACCAGTAAAAGGGGGTGGCAGAGCTTTGACAGACGCTAAATTTAATGACCTAATTATTACCTATTATATTGAATGTTATATGATGGCAGCAAGCTTCCGAAAAAAATATGTTTAACAACAAGTAACTGCGTTTTATCACTTTTTAGTTTGAACCGCTAGTAGTAATACTGAAATAATTACTAACCACTTCACCACATTTTCTTGAATTTCTACAAAAATGAAAATTCTAAGTTATAGAAAAGAAAAATATATATAATAATACTAGAACAATAAGAAAATTAAATTATAAGTTTTGGTTTTCTAAATATCTAACTGATTTATGGATTTCTTCACTTGTGCTACCTTTTTCTTCAAAAATAAACTCAATAATAATATCTAGAAAAAAATTTTCTTACCAAACGATTTTTTTAAAGAAAAACGATGCATTTGTAGATCTAGCCGATTATAAATTAGTATCAAAACTCCACCATAAACAATGCCAAGAGAAAACGACATGGAAGAAATTCACGATCTCAAGATTCCTTGCGACATATGCGACGAGCAAAAACGCACCTACGGGAGATCGGGGCAGAGGAACGAAGTACTTTAGTGATGCCCAGCTGCGGCGGCATGCTGCTGCTGGTGTTCAAGGTGGCGGCGTTCGTGAGGCAGCGCAACCAGGTAGGAGAATATCATCCCGCCGATGCAAACATGGAAAAGAGGATCGGGAGAGCTTGTTTCGATGTACTTTTCGATGTAGCGGTCGACCGCCTGGTCGGTTGTCTTCTTGATGTACTCCCATGTCAGCTTCGGCTTAAGATGTTTGGGCACCTCCGTCACCTTCAGACCCTTGATCTCGTTGAACAAAGCCCTCAATGCCATCGGAATAGCAGGTCAATCACAAGGGAAAATTTCTTGATCGATGGATTCAAATAGCTACAATTAATATGAGGAAATTACTAGAGAGCGTGCCCTAACCCTAACCTCAAATCTCAGCCAATTTGTTTTATTTAATCTGGACAAAACTATAGGATACTTAGGTCCACAACGCGAAGTAAAAAAATTAATTGTTGATTTAGTTTAACAAGTTGGAACATTTTATAAGAAATTTATGTACAAAATAAAATTTGTTTAGAAACATATTTAACAAATTAAAGCTAAATAAGGTTTTAAAATACCTTGATTGAATGGAATAAAATGTTTATTACTCAATATTTCGAATGTTTAAGCAGTAATATTTCTTTCATCATAAGCATTCAACACTTAAAAGCTAGCTTTACACCACTATGTAATATTGTAATCCACTTTAATATGAAATCATAAATTTAAAAATTGCAATGGTAATGTAAAACCTGAAAAAATGTCAATTTTAGACATCGCACGTTTTCGATGCACCACGACGAGATTTAAGTGAATTTTTTAAAGTTGTCAAAATTTGACAAAAATAATTTTATAAAATTCTACGTAAAATTCCGAGCAAATTAATATATAGAACCAATATTTAATTTTCCCTAATTATGAAGATAAAAATCATGGAAGTTTTATTAAGACAAAAATGCTCTTAATAACTATTAAAGTGAAAGAAGTATTGGGAGGGCATTTAAGTCCTTTGGCTATCTAAGGGAATTAAAGGGATCGAAATTTAGTCCCTCATTCAACCATTTGGCCGAACTGAAGAAAATGAAGGAGAGAGGGTGGACATACGGGAGGCGACGGGAGGAGGCTCCGGCGGCCAAGCTTGAACTAAGGGTGTCAAAATTTGACACAACACAAAAACCCGACCCAAACCCGACCCAAAAATATTGGGTTACACCCGACCCATTTCCAAGACGGGTCAGGTTCGGGTTCTCGGATTCGACCCATTTGAAAAATGGGTCGGGTTCGAGTTGACCTGACGGGTTGTCGCTTCAACCCAGAAACCCGTTTGAAATGTCTGCCTGGCTACCTGGTTACCTGCCCTAGCCTGCCCACCCCCTGCCCGGGTACCTGCCCTAGCCTTCCTTCCCCTTGCCCGGCTACCCAGGGAGCTGCCCTAGCCAGCCCGCCCTTACCCACGCCCTGCCTGTGCTCTGCCAGCATGCTATCGCGAGAGCGAGGCTGCCCGTGCACCCGCTGCGGCTGCCCACTGTTGCGGCTACCCACTACTGCAGCCCATGCACATCCGTACCACCACCCACTTGCTTGACCTTGCCAGCTCGGTCACGTCCGCGTCCGAGTCCGAGCCTGTGTCTGCCCCCGCATCCGAGCCCGCCTTCCCGTGTCGGGTCAGGTCAACCCAGCAACCCGCCGGGTCGGGCCTAGGTTCAGATTTCCAACCTATTTTCCTACTCAGGTCGGGTTAAGGTCGACCCATTTGAACTCGGGTCAGTTCCGGGTTCGATTTGAACCTGACCCATGACCCGAAATTAACACCCCTAAGAAAAACATAGAGGAGACTAAGGGAATGCTACTGTATTAGAATTACTATTTCTTTATTTTTCTCAAAGATTTTTGGATGAGAAGGATCTATGGTTTGACAAAAACTTAATATTTCCTTATGAAATCAATAGAAAAGGACAGGGAAGATAGTTTAACCACAAAAATGATGTTTTCCTCAAATTATTTTGAGATAGGAAAATTAGGGTTTTTCCTATTTTGTGATTTTTAAGCAAACTCTTTTATAATATTTATTTCATATGATATTAGAAGTGTTTTAATAATGAAAATTTAGGTTTTTAGAGAAAATTCTATTTTTCATAATTTCTATAATTAATAAATCCAAAAATAAAAATTAGTTTAAATTAAATTAGGTTAGGATAAAGGGTTAATTTGGATAAAATATATAATTAGACTAAAATATGAATTTTTAGAATATATACATGCTTTATGTGATTAATTAGAGAGAGAGGGAGAGAGAGAACTTAGGGTGGTTTAGAAAGAGAAGAATAATTTTAATTTTTTATTTCTTTAGTAGATTTCTGAAGGAGATATTATTTTTCTTATAAGTGTTTACTTGTTGTGACCTCGAAGGAAGGAGAACTAGTATGAAAATCAAATTCCTCTATTCTGTGAGTATTCATAATTCTTTATTATAGTGATACATTTGTTTCTCTCTATTTATATGTTTTGAAAGTCCAAGCATGTTTATGAAATTTTAATAGTTACTTTAGATTATAATTATGTTATTCTTATCCTATAATTGGTCATGCAATTTATATGTTATATTTCATGACATTATATCATAAAATTCATATGTTATAGAAATGAGATGATATGATTATTATAGAATGATTGCATGTCCATGCTGAATTGATGGAGTTCACTCTCTTATGGTACTAGTTGGGGATGCTATACTCGTGCACGTTAAAATGGTAAATGTTATGAAAAATAAAATGGTAAATGAGTACCTTTATGGTACTAGACGGTGGCTCCTATGATAGTTGTATTATATATGAAATGAGAAAGTTATGAATATTGATATGATGAATGAAAAAAAGAATATAAAATGATATGGATTTATGATTTATACGTATATGTAATTGATATGTTTCTAGCAAATCAAATTTATGACATGTTTAAATGAAATGTGGCATTTAGCATATTACTCTTTCTGCCTTGAACTATTATAGTTAGGAAGCATATTTTACTTATTAAGCTTTGACTTACTGTTAGTTTTTCAATAAATTTTTAGGTATAATTATTTTAATCATAATGAGTAGAAGGGGTGGAAACATGTATCGTAGGAGATGCGCACCAGAAGAAAGGTAACTATATGAATCTTAATGATTTTATGTTTATGTGTTTTTGAATTAAATATTTTTAGTGGCTCTTTAAAATATTTTGGTGATAGATTTAGAAATTAGATAGTTTAGTCTACCATCTAACCTTTGTTCCTGCCTCGCCTACGCGAGCTTACCGGGCCAGGTTATGATAAAAGTGGTATCATAGCAAATGTCTAAGAATATTGATCAATATGAAAGAGCCAATATGATGATTCTATAGGTTAGAGAAGTTGTAGGGTATGTGTGTTATAGACTACTAATTTTATTTCATTGGATTATATCTTAGAGCCATGGATCATGAAAATAATGCCGCTGATGGAAATACGGGATAAATTAGGAGGGAGATGCCCATTATATCAAAGCCTTTGAGTAATAGCATCAATACTACTATGGAATCTTTTACGCAAATGGTGGCAACAATGACCCAAATGATTAAGAACACTCAGACCCAGGTTAGTGGTAGTGGAAGCTCTCTAATGGATAAAAATTTAAAGTTGTTCCAAGATATGAAGCCTCCGATGTTTTTAAGTGGTGAACCAATAGAGACAGAAGATTAGGTGATGAGGATAGAGAAGATTCTGGAGGGTATGTCCTGCCTAGAAGATAGAAGGGTTACTCTCGCTGCTTTTGCCTTTGATGGTGAGGCAGAAAGGTGGTGGTGAAGCCAGTTACAAGATACTTTTGGAGGGCGATCTAGCAGTCAAGTCTCATGGGGAGGGTTTTTAAAGGTGTTCAGAGATTGGTATGTACCCATGTTAGCTAGAAGACAGATGCAAGATAAATTCAGCATATTAGTATAAGGTGATAGAACTACTACTCATTATGAGGCCGAGTTCACTAGACTTTCTAGATATGCCTCACATCTGATACCTAATGCATAAGAGAAATATCATCGTTTCTTATCTAGTTTGAAGGATGTCATTATATAATCTTTGATTCCTTTTGACAATGTGGATTATTCTACTCTGACATAGAAGGCCTGAAGGATTGAATAAGATTTGAAAGCTACTTAGAAGAGAGGGATTAGCATAAAAGGAAGAGTTTTGAAGAGGATATTCAAAGCAATCAGACTAAGGGATCAAATGGGAAGAAGCCCAAGTTTAGAACTAGTGGAGTTAGTGGTGCAATTATAAGTAAAGTTATGGAAGCTTGTGGTAAGTGTGGCAGATTGCATAAGGGTGAATGTTTGATTGGTTCCAACACTTGCTATTAGTTTCATCAGCCTTGACACATAGAAAAATATTGTCCTGCATTAGTTTAAAAGATTTCATGAGAAATGAGATCAAGTGAAGCACCTTCATAGAGGAACTTTGTCAAACAAAAAAAATGATAGAACCATCAGTTGCAGGTTCAGTGCAAAATTAATCTAGGAAGAATGTTCGACTGTGAGTTTATACTTTGACTCAGCAGGAGCTCAATAAATCCATAGATGTTGACAAGGATAATTGAGATGACTTTATTATCTATTTTTTAATGACTTTTAATGTTAAATCTGATGTTTTGAATTTAGTAGGTTAACTTGTTATGTTATGTCAAATATTTTGGGTTAACCAAATTATTTTGTTAAGATATTTCAGATGTGTAGTTTATTAAATTCCAATGTTGAAGTTTATGTTAATTGAAATGGAAGATGTTTATTTTTGTAACTAGAAGTTGTATGTAAATTTCGATGATGAAATTTTTATTAGGATGAGAGAATTATAAAATCTGAAAAAATGCCAATTTTAGACATCGCATGCTTTTCGATGAGCTACGATGAGATTTAAGTGAATTTTTTAAAGTTGTCAGAATTTAATGAAAATAATTTTATAAAATTGTATGCAAAATTCCGAGCAAATTGATATAAATACAACAACAACATTAAGCCTTTATCCCACTACGTGGGGTCGGCTACATGAATCCTTTTTCTCCATTGTGTCCTATTAAAGGTTAGATTCTCGTTTAAATCTAATAAAGAAAGGTCATTCCTAATATTTTCTAACCAAGTCTTTTTAGGTTTGCCTCTACCTTTCTTAACATAAGTCAAATCTAATACCTCTACTCTCCTAATCGGGTTATTAGAAGGCCGTCGTTTTATGTGACCAAACCATCTAAGGCGACTCTTTCTAATCTTATCTTCTACAATAGCTACTCCAACCATTTCACGTATATGCTCATTTTTTATCCTATCTCTAAGGGTAAAGCCAC